CCCCCTTGCAATGTGAAGGCATGTTTAAAAAAAAAACAGCATTGTAACCACAACGGTCAATTTTAAAATAATTATGGCATAGCATGTTCACAAAAATTACCATCACAGTGATTATGGTTACATTAAGTTTGTCTTTGCTATTCACCCCTGAGGATGATCTTGGAAGAGATTGAAAGTACTTGTGTTAACAAAAAATATGGCACTTTTCTTGATGAATTTAAAAAATAATTAGAAAGAATTATTATAAAAATAAATAGACATAATATGTCTATATTATTTAATGTAACACACTTGAATATATATATATATATATATATATATATATATATATATATATAAAATTCCATCAATAATAACATCACTTTATTCTGATGCCATTCAACTCCCCCTCCATGTGTGTATATATATATATATATATATATATATATATATATATATATGTTCATCTATACCCTGATCTTGTCATGTTTCCTTTGAGGTAAATATCATTTTTAACCTAGTCTCTTCAGAACTCTACTTACTGATGCAGGCAAAAAATAGTTCCTATCACATCAAACACGTCCATTAGAAAAAAACTATTGCTTCTCATTTACTATTTATTGAAGAATTGGTTTCACTCTCTGCACCATAAATGCTAAGTGTGAAAGGAAGTTAGTGAGTAATCTTGTGTATCCATACATTTACTGGTTGGTATTTCTGATGTGCCCATTATTTACGAGTGCTGTTTTCATTTTAGTTTCAAGGCAATGAGCCTCAAATAGATGGCTCTTGTTTCTGGGAATCATTCCTAATGGCACTGACTAGTGATATGTTTATACTGTGTTTGGCCTTTTTTTGTGGGAATGGGTTGCTTTCTGTGGTTGGAAGGTGGTAATGGCTTGCTTTGGAAGGGTAGAGGAAAAAGAAAATCCCCAGGAGTGTGGGGACAGATTAGGGAGGGTTGATTGACAAATAATAGCTGTTCAGATGTGTTTGTGAGCAGATGGGCTCATGACAGTAATCTGCATCTTAATCAAAATACTGTTTGAAGTCAACTGTTTGAAACATGAAACGAGGGCCAATTTTTCTATCACTAATTGATTCCCATTTTAAATACTTATTTTTGTAACCATTCTGTTAATACTAACACTTTATGTAACAAATAATATGCAGATGAATTATTAAACAAATCCATTCAAACTTTCATTCCCTCTAATGATTACATATATAGTGACATAGCAAATATTAAAAGCATAGATAGATATTCATTGCAAATGATTTTACTATAGAAATGCATTGCAAATTATTTACTAGTCATTTATGTAAACTGTTTTATTTATTAAACAAACCCATCATAAAATTCATCCACTCTAATAATTATATATTTCATAACAAACATTAAAAATATATAGAAATTATATATGTATATATTTTTACAATAGAAATGCATTGCAAATTATTTTATCTGAATACATAGATAATAATTTTCTAACTGAGTCTTTTATTCATTAAAATTGATTTCCAGTATTTGTTTCATTATTTCTGGATTTTTGAAATTACTTTCTTCATGACAAGCCTGAAAAACATGTTGACTTACTCTGAATAACAATGAAGCAGACAGAATCATATAATTTTTAATACTTCTCCATTGATTATTGTATGCCATATAGTTCAACTTATATAAATCCACTATCATTATTTAATAGCCAGAACTTGTATATAGATGATTTCCTTAAGATATATATATATATATATATATATATATATATATATATATATATATAGTTCAACTAATACAAAACTCGAGAACTACTCAAGATAGAGGGTTACTGAATTTGGAGTGTTAAAATATGTATGTATGTGTGTGTGTGTATATATATATATATATGTGTGTGTGTGTGTGTGGTACTTATTAGAAAGTGCTCAATAACAGTGATAGAGCTAACATATTTAGTTGGATTGATGTGAGTTTGTGACCCTGGGTTTTATGCTATTTGCACTCATCACACAAACTGATTAATTTTTAAATTTTGGATTTATTTATGGTTACATATTTTGGTGTTTTTATGGTAATGGGAGGAAAAGTCATTGTCGGAACACCACTATATAATTATAAAAAAGTTATAGGTCAGAGTTGAATTAGGCCAGGAAACAGTAGTATTAAAAAGTTCTCAATACACATATACAAAAAATAAAATAAAAAATTTAACATGCAGTATTAGGAAATTATTTAGCCCAAATCACCTGACAATATTGAAAGGTTGAAACCAAGATAGGGTAATCAGCTAATCTCCTTATATATATATATATATATATATATATATATATATATATATGATAAAAATATAGTTTTAAGGTATGGTATATTTATGAGTAAAAGTACTTAATATCAGAGACAGAGCGAACTTAAATATAAAAGTGGACATTGAGGTCAACACCAAGCTGCAATTGTCAGGCCATGTGTGTTGTGTTTTGGCTTGACTATTTATACACCCCTGGTCAAAATCTTAAGACCAGATACAAAAGGGTTAAAAAAATATAAAATGCTGTTACTTTAATTAAAATATATTTGTGAAACATTTACATTTAATTAGAAAATGTAGTTTATCAACAAATAAGTGAAAATTTTAAGCTTTTAATTGATTAATTTAAAGAAACATTGAAAAAAGGATTTTTTTGCTTTAGAAATCATTGTGCTGTTTGTATATTTGTGACACTCTAACCCTGGGCTGGTTGCAGCACCATTTGTGACGATCTAACCCATGGCTGGTTTGGGTGAAAACCTGGTTTACCACAGAACCATTTGTGACACTAACCCCTCTGGTTGTCTTGGTCATGGTCGATGTCTGGTTAGATTCAATATCAGCTTTGTCGTTCTCAGCTCGCCTCCAATGTCTGGTTACCGAAGTAACTGCTTTGATCTCTAGTCTAACCTACACACGTTGTGATTTGATCTTAGTTAGACAAAATCAATCAGGTGTCAAGCCGCAGTGCAAGCTGAATCCGGGGTAAAGGTGATACCACACAAGTGTATGTAAAAGAAAAATAATGAAACAAACTCAGGAGGTTCAAATGTGTTGAGAAATAACAAGTATCTTTATATCTGTCTGCTGAATACAGGAGTGCGTCTTTCTCCCAGCCTGCTTTTATGGATTCGTGACACTTTTGCATTTCTTAAGCGAGTCTTGATATCTTAAGTTGTTTTTCTGTGAGGAGAGGTCGAAGGAGAATTATCCTCCTAAACTCTTCCTTTCTCATATTGGTATCTCATACCAATCCCTTCAGTGGGTGTCAACAAGTTTCCCCTCTTTCTCATACATTCACCCATGCTACCACTTTAGCCAATGATCTCTTGGCAGTGTGGATGTGGCTAAACTGGCATTAGTTTACATTATCGCCCAAAGAAAAAAGATTATCTTCCCTTTTCTTTCTTTCTTTTCTATTGGCCAGAATTCTTATGAATTGCACATTGCGGCCATTAATTTTTTTATCTTACCCTGGGTCACCTGGAATTCATTAGCGGAATTCTCCGCCGACTCATTAATTACCGCAGTCAACTTTTAACTGGGTGGTCATTTCCACCTGAAGGCCAAATCTCTTTGTCTTTCTTGTCTCAATATTAGCGCATTTCCAGATGCCCGTTCTTGGTGACAGAAAGTCTGTCATTAACAGTTTGAACAGGCAGTAACAATGACCATATCAAGGTCTGTATTCATACAGCTGGCTTTCTTCGTTGGAATTCGAATTTCGATTACTTCGGCCTACATGCAGCTGGCCGAATTGAAATTTTTATTATTGCTACATGTATGCTGAAATTCTGTCTCCCTTGGCGTGTCACTCTCTTATCATGACATTAATTAATTCCGACAGAATCTGAAACCGGCTTCTCTTATGAATTTTCTGTCTTCTGTGAAAAAATATCTTTCTTCATAAATGAAAATAAAATCTTTACCCATTTTTCTTTTGTTAAAAAAAATAATGTCGCTTGGTATGTCTTTCGTTATAGCTCTTTCTCGCCTTAAGTATTTCTCGTTTTTAATTTCCATGCTTAATTAGTTAGCCAATTACCATAGCTAAATAGTGTCACATATTTACTATTTTTAAAGTATGTTTTGTGTGCATAGTTTCTGTTTCCCCGATCCTTCAGTTACTCCTATGTATATATTTTCTACATTATTTGTTGATTTTTACATCAGCTTGGTGTATTACATTGTTTTACAAGCAATTGCCATTTAAAGGGCATTTGTTCTTTTCTATTTGCATTTATAGCTATTTTCTCCTCCAGACACAGTTTACAGTTTTGGGATTTATTTTTGAAGGCTGATGCTGTTTTCCTTACTTCCACAATAAAAATCAGCTAGAGGTGCACTGAGAACATGAAACAAATAATAAAGTACAACAGAAAAATAACTAACAAACCACCCACACAAATCAAACCCAGCTGTAACTGCATAGTAAATATATAAATAGTCGAGCCAAAATGCAACATGTCTTGAAGATTCTGTTTAAGCATGAAACAGACTGGATATATATATATATATATATATATATATATATATATATATATATATATATATATAACCCAGTCTTTTCTATGTTTTCACACATCTTTCAAAATGACTCCACTGAGAAATACAGAAACCTGGATCCTATTTTCTTTCCTTGAAGAAGTTAATCCATGCTTTGTATAGTTTATAGAATCACCTGCGTCACCTGACATTGGGGATTGGCATGAGTTACTCTGATGGGTCTATTTTTGCCAACACATTTTTCCTTCTTTTTTAGTGTTTACAATGGTAAAAGCAGACGATTGGCAGACACTAATTATTTTTTGGTGATGTGGGGGTCATAGTTGCTTCTTCCAGATAATTCAATCTTCTCTAAGGAATGGAACTTAAATGTAACAATACAAACACTGAGACCTGTAAGTGAAGAAATCTTGGAATGACAATTTATTGCAACAAAATATATATGATTTCTTAGACTTTGCTAACCTTTTTCATTCCTCTTTGTTTCCTCAGGTTCTACCATTTGATGATAATCTTTGTGTTATGGAACCCTGCGTTAATTTTGAAGTATGCATGACACGACTGCGGTTTGGCAGTGCTGCACCCTTTATTAAATCAAGGTCAATGCTTTTCCGACCAATTCATCCCATCAATTCATACCAGTGCTTATGTCCTCCTGGATTCACAGGTATTTTTATTTCCCATCTTTTTGTTTTGTTTCTTAACTTTATTTTATAATTTCTAAATTTCCAGGTCATTTTTTCACAATATATTATTGTACATTTGAAACTTGAAGACTAGTTTCCTCTTCCTACTGGTTTTGATCACAATATTTCAACTCCTGTACCATGCATCGACCTTTGTATTTGAATTCCTTTGGCAATATTCTACAGGGATTTGTCTGAAATGATTCCTTTTCTTTTTTTTCTCTTATCTCTATTACAATGTTTTAGCTACTGTAGCTTTGATCTGAAATTCTGAGACAATGTGTTTTTATTGTTTATCCTATTTCTCTATACACCCTTTTCCAACACGTGTATGCTGGATGGAAATATTCCAAAGATCCTTCTGTATGGACAACTGGCTACTGTCAAGAGGGCACAAGGGCAACATCATCTTCACTTAAAGAACATCTGCAGAAGAGACATAAGGGCGATGGACATGGATATCCAGAGGTGGGAAGACTTTGCCAACTATTGCTCATGCTGGAAATGTGATTTACACTGAGGGTTGGAGTGATAAGAGGAGAAATGAAGACTTTCTCAATGGAAAGAAAACAGCACAGTAACATCAGAGGGAGTATCTTCACATGCATTCATTGCAATCAAGGCTGTCACTCCAACCACTATCAGCAGCTGAGGCATAACTCTTTTGGCACAGATCCAAGGTCTCTCAAGACTGATGGATGCCACATATATAACACTATTGATATGAGGGATCACAGTAGAGTTTGACTGCTCCACTTTATATATATCTATATATACACACATAGGGTGAATCAAAATCATGCATCATAGAGGTTAATGGATAGGTTGAAGAGGTTGAGTGGCCACGGAGGTAACCAGACCTCACACTCTTGGATTTATGTGGGGCCATATGAAATCGGTTGTTTATCAGATGTGTCCAGGAAATATTGAAGAACTTAAAGAAAGAATGAATTATGAATGGAGTAAAATGACAAGAAACACTCTGACATGTTAATGAATCAGACAGGGACAGAATTGAAATGTGTTTTGAAAAAGGAGGAGAACATTTTGAACAGCACATATAACAATTAAATATCTAGTAAGTAAAATTTTCTTGTGTAATTATACTTTTAATAAATTATCCCTATAGTGCATGACTTTTGCCTCACCTTGTGTGTATGTATATATCTATATATATATTGTGATGAAAAACTATGGAAACCAGAGAAGAAATAAAGAAAATATTCTATCACTATTTCCATTATTTATACTATTTACATGCAAATTGTTGTCTTCATCTTTGTTGCTGTTAACACATTTTAGATGTTGTGCTCTCCAGTCTTCTTCAGGTGTATGTCAGTCTGGGTAGCCTACAGAGAATTCTGAACTGAACCCTTTATTTAATCTATGGTTCTAGACTGTTCTCATTTCACTGCCCATATATAGAGATATCTTGTCTAGTTCTTATTTTTAGTACTGTTCAGTTATCATTTGCACTGTTTCCATTGAGTCCAAGTACACACTGCTGAGCCCAGGGATTGAACTCACAGTTATGTCACCAAATTCACAAACTAATGTTTTAATCCAATAGGCTATTATCCCAATTAAGTTATAGCATTTTTTTTTTATTATAGTTCACCCTGTATGAGGCCCAAGAGCCACTCAAAGTAGAAAGTTACTAAAAGAGGTTGTACAAGGAGGTAGCAAAATGTACATATTAAGAGGATATGTGAGACAGATAACAGTTGAGCATCATCATGAAAAGGTTAAGATTGTAGTGATCAGGGAAGCATCTTCTTTGGTGCCTCTTCCATGATGCAGAAGTTCTAGTGAAGAAACTGTTTGAGTTGAACTTTGTCATTAGAATGTGAAAAGAATGAGGATGAGTTGACTCAGTGTATGTGGACTGACAGGTCCTAGCTGTGAAGGTCTGGACTGGTGGAACCAAGGATTATAGTTCACCAAGACATTTGCCATGACAATAATGATAGAATAACGAGAAGCTAGCTTTTCCTTTTTCTTAGGAATCTCAGCACTTCTTCATTTCACAGATGAGCCTTTTAACAAACAATTGAACAAAATATTTTTCATTTTGAATTAAAGAATCTAATTGGTTTGCAAAATGTTCAAGCTAAATGTAAAAAATGAAGTTTTTCATCACAAAACATCAAGTTTTTCTTATACCTCTCTTTTGCAGGGATGACATTAGATCTTCTTTGTGATGCAGAAGTGAACCTCTGCTATTCAAGCCCTTGTCATACAAACAGTACTTGTGTCCAACAAGAAGGCGGATATGTTTGCCTCTGTCCACAGGGATTTACAGGTAAGAGGGAAAAATTATTTGCTTTCATACCTGAGCATTTATTCAGTCAGTTATGTGCCATGTGTGATACACACGTAGATGATCATGTATCTTTCGACACATGACTGACAAGGCAGATTTTTTCCCACAGTAGGTTGCTATTTCTTTCTGCAGTAGACCAGTTGCCATCCAAGGCTATAGAACCCAGTCTGTCCTGCTATTTACCCATAGCTGGGGGGATAAGAAGAAGATTCATACCTTTCCCAAGGGTATTAGCATGTAAGTGAATGTAATAGATACGACTGGAATTTGAACTCAGCTCTCCGATTCCTCAATCTGAGCTGCTATCCATTACTCCACCATGCCTCCTAAGCTTTCTAAAACAAACATTAATAGCTAACATGTATTTAGCTGCACACAGTATTATAGAATAACCAATTTAACTGAAAGGTGCTATCATTGATAACTGAGGAAATTATTTTATTAACTAAATGATAATATAGGAGTTGACTAGGTGGAACCATTGAGCAGGACTAAAAATAAATATTGCCATGAATTTATATGAATAAATGATTTTTCAAACAATGCTAGAACTTTTCCATCAACCTCATATGACGAAATACAAAAGTGGAGGGTGTTTATGTGTGTGTGTGTGTATATATACATATATATGTATATCTATATATATGACTAATACAAATAAAATTTGTCATTGACTTGATACGATATTATCTCCAGCATCTTCTACATAATTGTTTGGTCCACTCATCAATGATTAACTGTGGATTTTCTCTTTTTCATTATTTTTATGCAATTAATTTATGTATTAATTGGGATGCTACTATTATTGGGTTTAGGTTGAATTTTTTTTGCTTTTTGCATGAGTGAGTGTGTAATATATATATATAATCCAAAAGAACAAAGAATAAGATTTCAGTGTTCAAAACATTAATTTAAGTCAGGGCTCAATACAAAAGTAGAGCAATAAATATTTATCGTGATTTCCCACCTGATGAAATGTTAAAAAAAACCTTTTAACGTTGAAACAAGATGCACAGTTTTGTAGTGGGTATATGCATGTTATAATGTAACACTGCATATATATATATATATATATATATATATATATATATATATATATATATATGTGTGTGTGTTTGTCTGGCTCTCTAGGTTTAACTATATATGTGTGTGTGTGTTTGTCTGGCTCTCTAGGTTTAACTATATATGTGTGTGTGTTTGTGTTTAGGTTTAACTATATATATGTGTGTGTGTTTGTCTTTCTAGGTTTCATCAAGCAACATTGGAAATTTTTTGTATTAAGCTAATATAATAGAATACACAATTTAATTGAAAAGTGATTGAATCTTATAGAAATCCAGAAAATGGGTACTGATATATATATATATATATATATATATATATATATATATATATATATATATATATATATATATATATATATATATATGGGCCATAATTTGCCATACACAGAAAAAAATAAATATTTTATTTATATAATGTGCTCTATATGATTAACATTGTTACAAAAACACATATTAATATGTGATTACCACTGTTAATGAACATGCGTTAGCACAGTTGACATTATGCTTGTAATGGTGTTGGTGAAAATGTTCCTTGAGATGATTTATGTCTCGTATCTTCACCTGATACACCATGACCTTCAAGTGCCCCCAAAGATAGAAATCAAGGGGGAAGAGAGATCTGGAGATCTTTGAGGCCACTCCACAGGACCATGCCAATCAATCCAAGCATCCAGAAACTGCTGATCCAAATACTGATGCACTTGATGACCATAATGAGGTGGTGCTCCATCTTGCTGGAAGTAAACTGGGTAGTCACCTTCCTCGTTTAGCAGGGAGGGGAGAATTTCCTCTTACAACATATTAAGATATCTTTCTGCATTAAGAATTTCACTGACAAAAATTGGTGCAATAATTCTGTCACCCTATATCCCGGCCCACACCATCAATTTACCAGCACCATGCATCTTTGGCAGACTCAGCCAGTTAGGGTTCTCATTACACAAAAAAATGTAGATTTTATTGATTAACCTCTCCATTGACATAAATATTTGCTCCATCAGTAAACAAAATCTTAGTTGAAAATTTTGCATCCTCATTCACTTCTGGTTAATGCCCATTCACAAAATTCCATCCATATGGAAACTTATGGCCCACCCTGTATCTCTCTCTGTCTCTGTCTGTCTGTCTCTCTCTCTCTCTCTCTATATATATATATATATATATATATATATATATATATATATTTTTTTTTTTTCCGTTTATATGTTATTTTTATAGATGTAATTTAAGTAAAGGCTTCGTTTTTAATTAAACAATATTAATTATCAGCTTGAATGGTTGAAAAATTTTGTAGAAAATATGTGCTCTCTGACAAGAATTGAACCTGTAACCCTAATTCAGCCACAAAGAAGCATCTGGTTAGCAAAGTCCAAATTACTGTTTATAAACACACACCTTTGATGATTTTTGTTGATT